TGGGACCAGCCCACCAGTCTATATGTACAATATAGTGCAAGAACGACACTCTACAGTGACCGAGATCATGACAGATAGAGGGATTCCCAACCAATCAGACATGATACACCCCTCCCCCCCCCTCCCTCCTCCTCCTGGGATCACTGCTTCCCCGTGAATTTGCTGTAGACCTGGAAGACATCGGGGTTCTGCTGGGCAAAGTTTTCCGCCGTGTTCTGCTGCAGCCAATCCGACGACCGCATCTGGTGCTGGAGCTGGACGATGAGGTCGCTCAGGTTGGAGCCGGACGGCTCGCGGTGGCTGGAGACGTAGATGACCTCGTCGGTGCTGTCCGCTTTACCGTCTTCTTCTGCCCGGTTCCTCTGCTCCGGCTGAAGCTCCTTCTCCCTCATCTCCAGGACCTTCCGGATTCGCTGCATTCCTGATAGCGGGAAACAAAGACAGACGGGTGCAATCTAAAGGGTCATGTGACTAAAGAGGAAACAATCGTACTTTATGATGTAACAGGCCTTCGTCTGTACTAAAACAGATGCATACTGTAATCAAGGTAAGGCATTATAACACACAGATCTGCAGTGACAGTTATTTTTCACTGCCTGCGTGCTTACTGAAACGGGTTTTTAGTGGAAGTTCCGTTCTCCAAAGTGCTTCCCTTGAGTAACCTCTGCATCTCTGGTCACCCCTTGCTAGGAGAAGATCCAAGGCCTCCCGTCAAAAACAGGGATAGCTAAAAGAAACAGCAACACTCAGTGGCGTAACAATCGCCATAGCGACCCAGGTGGCCGCTATGGGACCCGGGCACAGGGGGGCCCAGCCAGGACATCCCCCTGATGCCGTGCGGGCCGCCTGGGTCGCTATGGCATCTCAGGCTGCTGGCTGTCACTTGCGAGTGTAAGGAGGAATGGGTCGCTGTTAGATCAACGGGAACCTGTCAGTGATCTTTGCAGCGGCGAGGTTCCACAGCCGCTGCTGTGTCAGTGACAGCCAGCAGCTTCGGTGGAGGATGCCTGAAGGGGAGACGGGGGCCCGGCTACTGAAGGGGAGACGGGGGCCCGGCGACGGAAGGGGAGACGGGGGCCCGGCGACGGAAGGGGAGACGGGGGCCGGCGACGGAAGAGGAGGCGGACAGCAGATCGGGGCTGACAGATAAGAGGTGTGCAGGGGTGTGACCAGGCCACCTGAGAGTGACTCTGCAGAGTCTAACATAGAGAGTCTGTGGTGAGCTCTGCAGGGTCTCAGGTGGGCTGTGTGGGCTCTCAGGTGGGCTCTGCAAGGGGCGCAACTAGAAATCACAGGGCCCCATACAACATTTTGCAATGGTGCCCTATGATTTCTAGTTACGCCCCTGGCAACACTATCTTTTTCTAAAGTGCTGTGGCTCCTTGGGGGTGGGACCTAAGTTATTGGCCAGAGGACATTAATATGGACAGGGCAAATTTAGTAGCCTTTCCTTTAGTCTTGCACAGTTGTACCGGCTCCTCTCCTGTACTGAAATATTTGACCTTGATTTCACTGCACACTGTGACCTTCTCATAATGTGCATTAGAAGCTGCAGCAAGTCGAATAGAGCCCGCCTCATTTCCTGGCTGGAGGATGTTCAGCATCATCCAGCACTCTCCCCCACAGCCTTGCCTTCAGTCTTGCACAGTTGTACCGGCTCCTCTCCTGGACTGAAATGTTTTACTCTGATTTCACTTCTCCCAATATACATCAGAAGCTGCAGCAAGTCAGATAGAACCTGCCTCCTTTCCTGGCTGGAGGACAATTATCATCATCTAGCTCTCTCCTCCTGGCCCACGCCTTTCATTCATTTGGTTTCTTTTTTGGAAAATCCATGGCCTCCCTTCAAAAAGAGGGAAGGCTAAAAGGAACAGCCACTCTTTTTCTTTTAAAGTCCTGTTGCTCCTTGGGGGTGGTACGTAACCCTTTTATGACCAGAGGCCATTGATGCCTATAGGTCTGGGCCACATTTAGCAGGGTCAGCATGCGTCAGTTAACTTGACCCGATGACTAATTTGCATACCAAATTCAATTCTATATCTGCATATTCGGGGTTAACACATTTCCTTTTGAGCTGCACAGTTGGAAATGATGACATTTCACAGTAGCAGCTACGTTTTGACAGCCGCTCCTCCTGTGTGATACAAAGCAATTATCGGCTGTCATATTGGCAGCCGGTTTTGGAAAGTAATATCAGTGAGGGGGAAGATAAGTTTTTTTGGGACTTATCTCTCAAAATCCTCAAGTGGTTAATGACCGTCCTCAAGGCACGCACTCACCTAGCTGCAGTCGGTGAGTCTTGTCTGAGAATATGATTCGAAACCAGCCCGGCTCACAACATTCAAAGGCTTTCCCACAGGACAGAAGAACGTTGTTGTCCAGAAAGTCCCGCCACAATATGACTTCTTCCTCGAAGGTTGGAGCCCTCAGATACTGCAAGATGAACACAGAAAGACAAGGTCAGGGTTAGAGGTGCCTAGAACACTCGGGCATTGGATGGTTTGGATCCAAAGGGATTGTAGGATCCTCTAGTTACTCTACATACCCAAGAAAAATGACACATATGATGCAATAACACAGCAGTCTGTGACCCCCTGCCAGTAGACCTGTTTTTATTCTACCTCCATTAATAGGCCAAGCTGTCCAGCAAAAGGCCAAGCTGTCCAGCAAAAGTGCCGGTTACCGGTAGGGATGCACCAATACCGATACTAGTATCGGTGACAATACCGAGTATTTGCCAATGCTCCAATACCTTCAGAGGGAGATTTCCAACGACCGGCAGTGCCGCGAGAAAAGATGGAGCCGGGAAGCTGGCTCCCTGCTGTTTGGCCGGCACAATGCTGATTGGCCGGGAAGCTGGCTCCCTGCTGTTTGGCCGGTACGATGCTGATTGGCCGGGAAGCTGGCTTCCCAGCCAATCAGTGTCGAGCCGGGCAAATACATCTGATTATATAGCGACACGACCCCCACCCTGGAGGCACCTAATTCCCCTCACATAGATCCTTAGCATTCTTTAACGTACCAGTCGCTCGGCCAGATCTGCCGTCTCCTGTGTGCACACTGCACAGCGCTCATGTGATCGGCGCACAGGATTTCTGAATGAGAGCGCTGGGCAGTCTGCGCATGCGCAGTAGCAGGCTGAGGGCCGATCACGTGGGTGCTGTACAAAGGAGACGTGGGGAGATCTTGGAGAGCTGTGTCTCCCCACTTGGAGAGCGCTGGCCGAGGTACTGGTAAGTTAATGAATGCGGCTAAGGATCTATGCGAGCGGAATTAGGTGCCGGGTCGTGCCACCATATTGTCAGATCTGTTTGGCCGGCTGGATGCTGATTGGCCAGGAAGCCAATCGGAACAGAATGGACAGAATGGAGTCGGCTTCCCAGGCAATCAAGAAGCCTTCATGGCTTCCTGATTGCCCGGGAAGACGGCTCTATGCTACCGGAAGTACCAAAATATCGGTACTCGATACCGAAAAACCGGTATCGGTGCATCCCTAGTTACAGGGATTGGGACAAACCATATAACAGCGCTAGGGGAGCTCACAACAGTCAGCTTTTATTCATAGGGTTTAAAACTTTCAACAACAAAAAATGCTGCAATGGTTTAAAAAGTGTGAGCTGGACTTTAACTTGTTTATCTCTTACTTAGAGGATGATTTATAATCATATGGTATGGCCGGGTGAATGCCATTTGCACAGCATTCTAGCCACTAGATAAGGCCGAGGAGCAGAGGAATTTCCTATGCTCCTTGCCTCCATCTATCGGTGAGAATGTTGTGTGAACGGGGGAGATGGGAGATGCCCTGACAAAACATATAAACCCATGTATATCATCAATATCCAAAACCAGTATACAGTACCATGCGTTTTTGATATTCTTTAGTTCTACCTAAATCCATGCTGCATTCAGCACCCTCCCGCTGCCTGGTCACGTGACTGATGCCTCATGACCAGGCACTGTGCGATCATTCCAAGAGTCTCGAATACAATGGTAGTAAAATTATTACACCCGGCAGGTATATCATTCAACTCTCACCTTCCGAAAGTCAATCCAGGTGAAAAATCCGGCTCCGCGGTTTAGGAAAGGAACATTGAGGGCTCGGAGTTCGTCGGCTACAAAGGCCTGGGCAGCCCGCAAGCGAGCATGGTTGACCCGCAAATAAATCTGGTTAATCCAGTCTGTTATAGCACATGATGAAGAAAACAGAAACATAGATAATACTGTTAGAATAGAACTATGATACATGGTGTGATGTCAGAAACAGCCTACATTTACAAAGCCATTTATAGCTGCATGCATACAAATATATACGGCTTTTTGGCCATCGTCAGTGTAATGTACGGAGAACATGGCTGCATGAATTGGGGTTAGATGGCCACCGCAAGGAGTTGGGCCAAAATAAATTATAATATGTATATATATCTATCTATATATAGATATATAGATAGATATATATATATACAAATTTGAAAATAAGTAATATGGCAAATTTAAAGTAGTTAAAAGAGAACTATGGGGTAACTGTTTTTCCCCATAGTTCTCTTTGGGGTCACAGGAGGACATATACTAACCTCCTCCCGTGACCCAAAGCTCAGTATATTGTAGGCTATTGCATTATACCGACCTTCACCCCTCAATGCAGGGAGATGATTGGAAAGTGAACGAGCGACGGTATGTATTGGCTCACTTCCCGATCAATAGAGCCGACGTGTGACAGTTTCTTTGTCACAGGTCGGCTCTAACTATGACGATGAGTGGAAATCACTCACCTCATAGTTCTCCTTTAAGTTTATATATATATATTGATACTCTAGACAGCGATTGAAAGCCGGCAGGGTTGTTCTTTAAGCTTTCCCTCCCCAATCACCATCACATCCATCACCCGGTCTCACCTCGATCACGAAGCAGCTGAGCCATCATGTATTGTACAGGTCCACAGACCCCATGGAAGTAGCAGAGGGAAGCCACTCCATTGCAGACATCTTGGTTCTGAGAGTAGAGGGTGCCGAAACGCACCCCGGAGACAGCAAAGTCCTGAGGGCAAAAAAGTGAGGATCTGATGAGTCGAGGTGCTTCTTACGTCAATGGAAACCAGGGGTAGGGAACCTGGGCACTCTAGCTGTGTTGAAACTACAAACCCCATGAGGCATTGCACAACTGACAGCCACAGGTATGACTCCCAGAGACAGAGGCATGATGGGATTTGAGGTTTCGGCAAAACTGGAGTGCCGAGGTTGCCCGCCCCTGCTCTGAACATTTTATTAGAATGTTCGTGGCCATTAAAAAGCAAATCACACCAGTACTTTATAGTATACCTGAAGCCTTTTTTTGTAGTAGTAGTAGGGAATGGTTGAAACCTCTCTTTTTTTTTTTAATTCTTTGTGTTCCTTTGGGGAGATTTTCCACTTGTCTTGATAGACAACAGGAAGTGAGAAGAGATCCCACCAAAGGAGGTAAAATCCTCTCTTAGACAGTTGTCACTGGAACATGTGTTTACATTGGACAATTTCTCCTCTATTGCTGTTCTGGGGACAACAAAAAATTGGTATTGTTGCTTTCTTTCAAACCTGCTGATAATAGCTATTAGGACACACCAGGAGAAGACACAGAATAGACTTAAAGGAGAACTATGGGGTTAAGTATTTTCCCCATAGTTCTCCTTAGGGTAACGGGAGGACACAAACTAGCGTCCTCCCGTCACCATAGGCTCAGTATACTGCGAGCTGCTGCTCGCGGTATACTGAGACACCGCAGCTGAAGCGGATCCCGACAATTGTGTCGGGATCCGCCCAGCTGCGTGACTGACAGCTGGCTCTGCCTATCTAGAGGCAGAGCCAGCTGTACCCTCCCCCGTCCGTTCCGCCAGTCAGCGCTGGCGGATTGGAGTGGGGAGGGGGGAATCCAGCCCCTCCCCTGTCACGGCAGAGAGCCGTGACAGAATCGAGAGGTGAGCGAATGCCGGTATGTGTTCGCTCACTTCCCGATCTACTGAGCCGACCTGTGACAGCCTCATTGTCACAGGTCGGCTAGAACTATGAAGTGAGTGAAAAGCACTCCCCCCATAGTTCTCCTTTAAAGTGACACTAAACTCCGGAGTAAAATCTTAAAAATACATTCAAGTACCTGAACTATGAACAACAATGTATCTCATTTGTGTATCACTCGGCTGTAGATCCTCCAATCATCTCTGAATTGGTGCTGACACTGTCCTTCCTTCTGGAGGGGGGCTACTTTTGTACCCCATGGTCCCTGTGTGTGTTGTAAAGTAGTCACCGCTCCAAGCTCACTCCCGGAATGGACTACAATCCCAATACCAAATAGTAAACGAACTCATCCTTATGGTTATGTTGTCTCAGTAACTCAGGAGGTATCTCATACATCCTGGTTCAATTAACATCTACTCTTTTCTTTAACCGCATGCAATATTCAAGCTCTGATGAAGAAGGGAATGTATTGGCCCCCGAAACGTGTTGGCTGTTTTATGTGATCACATGACCATCATTTGTTAGAGTGAATTGGACTCTTTCACCTTTTGGTCCTTGCCTACTTTCTAGAAAACAAAAGAATGCTGGCTTTAGATACACCCCAATTTCCTTATAGCATCCTCACTGCACTTACCTTACTAATCCCCCACATCACGTGGGTCCTTTGGGGGTCAGGAAGTCTGTGTGAACACAAAACTTGTAAATAAATGGAATAATGAACAGTTTTTTTTTATAAATATCCTTTTAGGAAACAAAGAAAAACAACAAAGGAAGCAACAAAAGGAAACAATTGAAAAAAGGTTTCATACTAAGTATACATAGAAGTATGTTAAACTATGACAACCCTATTGTTCTGAAACTGTATTGTACTGTAAATTGTATTGTAACTGTACTATCTCTGCTATTTTGTAAAGCGCTGAGCAAATTGTTGGCACTGTATAATAATAATAATAATAATAATGAGGTGAGTGAAAATCACATCCTCAGAGTTCAAGCCAACGTGTAACAATGAAACTGTCACATGTTGGCTCAACAGATCGGGAAGTGAGCGAACGCATACCGTTGCTCGCTCACTTCTCGATCATCTCCCTGCAGAGAGCCGTGACCGTCACTCACGGCTCCCCGCAGGGATTCCCCCCTTCCCTGCTCCTCCAGCGCTGACTAGAGGAACGGACGGGCTAGGGGGCGGGCACAGCTGGCTCTGCCTCTAGATAGGCAGAGCCAGCTGTCACTCAGGCAGCTGGGTGGATCTCGACAGTAATGTCGGGATCCGTCCCGGCTGCAGCGGTATCAGTATACCCGCAAGCTGTAGCTCCCTATATACTGAGCTTTTGGTCATGGGAGAATGCTAGAATATTTCCTCCCGTGACCCTTGTCCCCACCCCGGGGCTTACACTGCCGTTTCACCGCCGTCAACAAGCACTGCCCCAGACCCCCCCGACTGACCAGCCGATTCACGGACAGCACCCCTCTCCCGGGGCTTACAGATGACTCACCGATGCCGTCCGTGTCCCGATGGCATCGCATCCAGGTCTGTAACCCTTCTGCAATTGGCCCGCGGGCCGGTGCCGCCCTCAGCGAATCCTTGCGGCAGATACGCCCCTGGGGGTAATCTACTTTAAATTAAAACTCCCCTTTTGTCTGGAAGTACAAAACTCTCCAGTCTGTTATACACTAAAATTGCTAAAGTATGTAAAAAGAGGTTTGTAAGATATCTGCAACTTCAAATCAATATGCAGAATTAGCTTCTTACAATTTCTTCACCCAGAAATTTGAAGATGAATTTGCAAATGTTTTTTTATCGAAAATGTTCAAAACATCCTTTATATACCGATACAATGTAACCATCCTTCATATGAACAATATGTGAATAGAATGCAGCAATCCAGTGCAACCAATCAGAAACCACCTTAGTCTACCCACGCTAAGGTGCTGAATGCTGATCTCCAATTGGCTGGTTATTTATTATAGGTATTTCTATAGTGCCGACAATTTACGCAGAGCTTTACATAGTTGCACATTCACATCAGTCTAAGATCCCTAGCTCACATACAGACACATATTAGGGACAATTTAGACAGGAGCCAATGAACCTTCCAGCATGTCTTTGGAGTCTTTGGGAAACGCGCACAAGCACAGGGAGAACATGCAAACTCCTTGCAGATAGTGTCCTGACCGGGATTCAAATCGTGGACCCCCAGTGCTGCCAGGCAAAATGACTCTTGCTTCTGAAAATTTGTATAATGATGATATACATTGTGTACAGTATAAACTCCTTCCAGAATGGTCTTTAGACCCCCCCACCCCCACCCCCCCCATTGTATTGTGTACAGGTCATGGTTTCTGAAGACCTCTGCCATGCTGGATCCTGGCCAAAAGGTTTTGGTTGGTTTATAGAAACAATGAATTTCAGAAAGTCTGAATTTGCATAAGAAGCTTTGCAGGCTTTGGAGCAGTCAAGGGCGAGTCGGTGAGCTTAAAGGAGAAGTATGAGGTGAGTGCTTTTCACTCACCTCATAGTTCTAGCCGACCTGTGACAATGAGACTGTCACAGGTCGGCTCAGTAGATCGGGAGGTGAGCAAACACATACCGGCGTTCGCTCACCTATCGATCCTGTCACGGCTCTCTGCCGGGACAGGGGAGGGGCTGGATTCCTCCCTCCCCGCTCCGATCCCCCCAGCGCTGACTAGGGTTATACTGAGCCTAGGGTGACGGGAGGATGCTAGTTTGTGTTGTGTTGTGTTGTGGAAAAGCCTTAACCCCATAGTTCTCCTTTAAAAGGCACCATATGGCAATAGGGATCAAAAACAGTATGAGAAATATACTTACTTATCAAAGCTCAGGACACTGTGGAATGTGGAGGATTCATCAAAAACTGACAGCATATAAATCTCATCCACTATAACGTGCAGCGAGTGCCTATGAGAGAAAAGGATACAGCTTTATACGTTTACAAAAAAAAAATCACCCTTGGGGAGAACATGCAGCAAAGATCCTTCTCAAATCTTTTCTTACGCTGAAGGAAAGCTTAGAACTTCCTTCATGCTCCTGAGAGGAGAACTGAAGCAGGGCCCTGTGATGTTTTCGGAAGATATGTACAGCACCCTGCCCCTACCCTTCACCCAAACCAACCATGATCTACCCACTTTGCATAGAAAAGCAGTGAATGGATCCCTTGGGGTGAAGAAGATTGTGAAAACTCTTCAATATCTCTTTTACCCCTTCCTTGCCGTCCTCCCCCTTTTTTTTCTCTACTTCTCTCCTCTTCCTTTCTACTACTATATCCCCTTTTGAATTTCCTCCCCTTCGCACAACTGATTCAGCCTTGACCACTTTAGGACCGTTGTGTGCATATATATGTCCTGGTCATGAGGAGGTTCCAACCAAGCTGCCGCAGCAGCTGTGATCTTAGTACCGTTCTTTGCAGTTGGCACCCAGCTTTCACACTGGGCGGCTGTAGAGCTGCCCGATCACTTGTGTGGTGCTAAAAAGGGCTTCTTCTCTCTATCTCGGACTCCCTGCCCCTTGGGTGGACCCGGGACCAGCATGGCGGCAGCTGCACAGGAGGGTGATCAGCTCACTTCCTGTGGCTGATCTTCCCTCCAGTCACTAAACCCGGAAGCGACAAGAATGTTGTCACTTCCAGCTTCAGGCTTTCATTTCTGTCCTGGCCAGAGAAGAAGCTGGTGACGCATAATCTGTGATATTACATTGGCCATATGAGTCTTCCATGTAAAACAAAAATTCCATAAAAAATATTGATATTTCATGTAAAGCCAAGGACAGGGAAATCAATATGTAATTAAAACAGAGACTGGCTGACACTCATCTAAAACAGAGCGGCAGCCCTAAAAAACAACTCATCACACCGCACCTTTTGGCAAACTCCAGGAAGTCCAACATTTCAGAAGCAGAGTATACGTCACCCAGAGGATTGTGGGGGTTTATCAAGATAAGAGCCTTCACAGTGGTGCCCTGGAAGAAACACAGCAGGCTATGGCTATGGCAGTGACACAAGCTGTGATTGGTATTATACAGCACGCGCTATGCTCTAGTCCACATTCAAACACCTACCTCCTCTTTGGCGGTCTGCAGAGCCGACTCCATTTTCTGCACAGTTAGTTGGAATGGCCGCCCCCCCGAAGACGTAACCTGACAACCAGAAGCAGTTTTCAGATTTAGTTTCTGACAATTTCTTCACCCAGGAATTTGAAGATTAATTTGTTACATTTTTTTATCAAAAATGTTCACAAAATCATTTATATACCCATCAAATGTAACCATCCTTCATATGAACAATATGTCAATGGAGTGCAGTAATCCAGTGCAACCAATCAGAAACCGCCTTAGTCTACCCACGCTAAGGTGCTGAATGCTGATCTCCAATTGGCTGGTTATTTATTACAGGTATTTATAAAGTGCCGACAATTTACGCTTTACATAGTTGCACATTCACATCGGTCCCTGTCCTCAAGGATCTTACAGCCTAAGGTCCCAATGTCACATACAATGTCCAGATGGATCCCCTCTACTCCTTACAGCGGTTAGGACCATACAGTAAATGGTGGTGCTCACAGTGATGATCACGGATGGTGCCGTGCAATACTAGGCCTTGATACAAATAAAGATCACCAGCACTCAATGAATACTTTGAAGAGGTGCATTACGCGCAAAAAGCAACGTTTCAGGGCCACGCAGGGTCCATTTATCAGGGTGACCCAGGGCCGGCGCTACCATATAGGCAGGTCAAGCATCTGCCTGAGGGCGCTGCTGTGGGGGGCGGAAAGATGCGACTGGGAGGTCGCCCCTTTAAGACGGTCACGGCGGCGGCGATCACATCTCTCTGCGCTCCCTGTCTCTCTACTCCCGGTCGCTGCTGCTTCAGAGCGGCCAGGAGTAGAGAAGAGAGGGAGCGCAGATAGGTGTGATCAGCGCCGGTATGAAGAGCCGAGCAGAGGCAGGGATCCGTTTGATGAGGTGAGACCCGCGCCCCCCCCGACCTGACCCCCCGCCAGGAAGTTCTCATCTGCAATCCCCCCTCCCTCCCTTCCCCCCCGCCAGCTACCTTTCTCTTCTTCCTCACAGGAGACAGTGAGGGGAGAGCTGCACTCGCAGCCCTTCCTCTCAGCTGTCACAGGAGTTCTGGCACAGTGTTGTGCTAGAACTCCTGTATTGGAGGTGACAGGGTCAATAAAGAGAACCTGTCACCTCCATATGCTATCACACAGGGCATTGTGTGATAGCAATAAAGTTAAGTGAAAAAAAAATGTAATTAACATTTTTTTTGATAAAACATTAGAAAATAAATAAAAATTATGAAAAAATAAGTAAAACATAATGATAAAAAGTAAAAGATAGTAAGATTAAAAAACAAGTAATAAGAAAAAAATAACAAATAAAAAAATAAGATAAAAAAATTATAAAAAGATAATCAGATATATATTTAAAAAGTCAAAAAATTAAGTGATAAAGTAAAAAAATTAGAGGTGCACCAAAAAGGAAGTTTCAAAAATGCACCTTCGCCTGTGTAGGAAAAAATACTTGCACCGGCCCTGGCGTGACCCACTTTGTCACCCTGAGTGGCCCATTCACCTGAGTGGCCCAGTGGCACATTCACATCATTCCCTGTCCTCAAGGAGCTTACAGGCTAAGGTCCCTATGTCACATACACCCAGGAATTTGAAGATGAATTTGTCATTTTTTTTTAATCAAAAATGTTCACCTGATCCTTTATATGCCCATCAAATGTAACCATCAGAAGTCACCTTATATTAGTCTACCCGTGCTCAGGTGCTGAATGCTGATCTCCAGTTGGCTGGCTATTGCACTACACCGCTCCATGTGCTTTGAAACTAAAGTCCAGCAGAGAAAGCTGCATTAAGGGTCTGCCAGTTCAGAGGAAGATGCAGCAACAGGCTAACAGATGATGGGATTTTTGCCTTGGCCTCCGCATTGTGCATTGCATGAGCCTGTCCGGGTGCCACTTATGTATACCTGTCTAAGCAAGTATTCGATCCCAAAGTTGGCCATAAACCGGTTGAACCGGTCCTGCTGACATTGGCACCCCTCCATTAAACAAAAGGCAATTTTTTAATCAACTTTTGTTAAAGGAGCAGGTGTGAAATATATGCTGCAGTCACTGTTAAATTAGCCTGATGGGGAGGGGGAATCCCCCATCCATGTTGTCAGCATGGATGGCATAATCAAGAGTTTTTTTTCATCATGGGGGTGAAAGAATAAAAGTGTTTGGCGAACCTTACTCTATGGGGGAGGGGGAGGTACCAACAGGTGATTCTTTAAGCTGTCCAAGGTTCATCTTTAAGGCCAAGTGTATACTAGACATGTGCGATTCGTTTCGTTACGAATTGAAATTCGTACGAATTTTCCTGAAATTCGTAGATTCGTAAGCATACGAAATCCGAATTGCAGTTTCCGAATTATATCCGAAATACGAAATTCCGTTAACGAATTTCGGATCCGAATTTCTTTGAAACAGGAACTAATATTACCCCTGTAAATGAGGTTGAACAACATGACAAGATTTTTTTTTTAATCCGAAATACAGATCAGCTGCTGTTTAGAGTTGCATTACAATACACAGGCAGGAAATACGAAATTCCGTTGACGTATTTTCATTCCGTTACGAACATTCGTTATATTGAAGGTAAAAAGCAAAGTCCATTTATATTGGAGTTGATGGTAGGTTTTTTTTAAAGTCCGAAATATGAAATTCGGATACGGAATCCGTTAACGGAATTCGTATTTCGGATACAAAAACAACTACCACATCGACTCCAATATTAACAAAGGTATTTTTGCTTTTTAACTTCATCATAACGAATGTTCGTAAAGTTACGGAAATGTGCCGAAACTAACGAAAATACGTATTTCATACGAATCCGAATTGAGTTTCGGTTACGAAATACGAAATAATGGATATTACGAAACAGAACGAAACGAAACAGAACAAATTTTTTGACGTCGCACATGTCTAGTGTATACATACCAAAGACTTCTGAAGATCTGGCCTGACTCTGCCCGAGCTCAGTGCAAACTGAACTGTAGCCAAAGTAGACCTTAAAAACTGCTTTTAGAGTTCACCAAACCGTGTAAGCAATGCTTTCGATGTATACACCGGGGCTCAATTATTTTGCGAAATGCAGTCATCTAGGAACATATCCTAAATATATTCTTTCCACTGCAATCAGCAAAATAGTAAAGTACACAATGTACACAAGGAGAGCACTGCTTATAGAATTTAATGAGCTCTAAAAGCGTTCCTATTTATACTACTATGAACGTTGGAAAGGACAAACAGGGCTCAGGAGAGCTCCATAAGCTTGTGTACACGCAGTGGCGTCACAAGGGGGGTGCGGGGGGTTCGGCCCGCACACGGGTGACACCAAAATGACTGACAGTCATTTTGGTGTCACCCCCCCCTCTGAAAAGTCGGGCGCTCGGTCATGGACCGAACGCCCGACAGTATCAGGAGAGAGGAGGGGACTGTCCCCTCCTTTCTCTGCCGGCGTCCATCACCAAGATGGCCACCGGCAGGTGTCACCCAGCCTCGGGACGCCCCTGTGTACACGTACCCGAAGTGTTTAGCTAAACTGCCCCCCTAAGCTGGTAATTCACTTAAAGTGGACTGTTACCCATAATCTTGAAAATAATAACAAACACACACCTTTAGAAATGTTTAGTAATGACAATCTACAAACACATACTTCTAGATAATTGCCGGCTTTGTATTGTTTGCATTTCTTATTTCTCTTTTCTTCCCCAGTCTCTTGACAGTGGCCATGTTAACTAAGGGCAGGTTACTAGCTCTCCTATTACTTCCTGGAACTCTGGCACACGTGACTAGGACATGTGACCATGCACATGATCTATGGGGAGGAAAATTACTTTCCCTGAGATCTCGTGAGATTACAGATGAGATTTCCCAGCAATGCTCTGCTGATGACGAGGCAAATCTCAGTGTGCATTGCTTTTGGCAAACTGAAGTAATTTTGCCCTTTCAAAGCAGGAAGTGAATGTTCTGCAAGTGTAAGTATTTAAAGGAGAACTATGGGGTCAGTGTTTTCCCCCATAGTTCTCCTTAGGGTAACGGGAGGACACAAACTAGCGTCCTCCCGTTACCCTAAGCTCAGTATACCGCGAGCTACAGCTCGCGGTATACTGAGACGCCGCAGCCGGAGTGGATCCCGACATCGATGTCGAGATCTGCCCAGCTGCGTGAGTGACAGCTGGCTCTGCCTATCTAGAGGCAGAGCCAGCTGTACCCGCCCCCTCACCCGTCCGATCCGCCAGTCAGCGCTGGAGGAGCGGGGAGGGGGGAATCCAGCCCCTCCCCTGTCACAGCAGAGAGCCGTGACAGGATCGAGAGGTGAGCGAACGCCGGTATGCATTCGCTCACCTCCCGATCTACTGAGCTGACCTGTGACAGTCTCATTGTCACAGGCCGGCTATAACTATGAGGTGAGTGGAAAGCACTCCCCTCATAGTTCTCCTTTAAGAATCCCAGCTGACATGTCTATGTTATTATTATTCATCATACATAGAGGGGTGCATTGGTAGAATTTGATTTTTGAGTGTAAAGATCCGCATTCGGGATGAATGCTGCCACTCTGAATCACTCTCTCCAGTCATTGTGCCAAAACATTACTCTCAAAGCAAGATTTTTTTTTTTTTATTCTCCCTTGACATGACTTGCTGTAGAGTTAAATGCTTTGCAATGGCACCTTTCTCCTGAAGAAACACAAGACAGCAGGAGATTCAAGCCACCAACATCCATCCACAATTAAAATATCAGATTTTCAAAGGATTTGCACTTAATTTCTGTACCCTTCTAAATCAGGGATGGGCAACTCCAACCCTCCAGCTGTGCTTTAACTACAAATCCCAACATGCCTCTGGGAGTCATGCCTGTATCTGTCAGTCTTGCAATGCCTCATGGGACAGTATACAGCAGATTATTGTAACCCAACACAGGATCCCCATCACTCACCTTGCTTGTTAGGTGCACGTAGGCCAGCTTAATACCGCTGTACAAGAAAATGCTTTGTGTGATTCCTCCATAGAACGGCGTCGGAATGAGAATAGAATCTGTGAGACAAGAATCAATAGGATACATTTAGTGCACAACCTGCCTGAATCAAACAATGACAGGAAAGAAAATGATAAGTTGGATGTAAAATGGCTTCAACTGCTGTTCAGAATATACTGTACAAGGATGTCATATGACATATGCGACATGCACATCTAATCTGATCACAGATATAAAGCAAGAGAACTCTTCCCTATGCAGGGAGCAGGCACTGTACACATCTGCCTTAACACCAGGGGGCGCTAGCAGCTGAACGAAAATCCCAACCTGACCATTTAGTGCACCCTCCACAGACAGAGAATAGTACGAAGTCCCTGCAATCTGACCACCAGGCCTTGTTCACACCAATTGCAGAGCAGATCCGGTCAGGTTTCTGCACACGCACGCTAGTCTTTTAGATGCGTTTTTGACGCGTTTTTGGCTAAAAAAAAAATTTTTACATTGTTGTTTTTTTTGTCCGTTTAAAATGGGCTTTCAGTGCGTTCCAGGCATTTGCATGCGTTTTTGATGCGTTTGCAGATCCAGAGCAGGTAAAATAGGGCCTGCTGCAGTTTTTTCACCTGCTCTGGAACTGCCCGCTGCGATGTGAACTGGAGCAAAAAATACCATTGGAATACATTGGGCGCAGTTTTGATCCGGTCTGCAACTGATCTGCTCTGCACCTGCTCCGCGCTTGGTGTAAACAAGGCCTTAGCCTCAGCTTCTGCCCATTCCTGTTGTGGTCACATGCATGAAAAACTATAGGAAGCTGGGAAAACATGCAGACAGTCCCCGCATTGCTGATCTCCCAGAAATCATAATAATTGAAAAAGGTTTTTCAGACCTCAAATCATGTTGTACCTTTATATAAAGAAAACAAAACAGTGCAAGTTCCTACAATTCAGACCCCAGATGCAAGGTGATCTGACTTTATACTGCCCAGCTCCAATGTACGGGCAAGAGCCGCTCTATAAAGACAAGTAAGAAAGCGGAATTCCGCTCTCCTATTCATCTCTATTGAACTTGTGGTATGACAGGTTCCCTTTAAAAGGAGAACTATGGGGTTAAGTCTTTTCCCCATAGTTCTCCTCAGGCTAACGGGGGTTCACAAACTAGCGTCCTCCTGTCACCCTAGGCTCAGTATACCGCGAGCTGTAGCTCGCGGTATACTGAGACGCCACAGCTGAAGCGGATCCCGACAATTGTGCCGGGATCCGCCCAGCTGCGTGAGTGACAGCTGGCTCTGCCTATCTAGAGGCAGAGCCAGCTGTACCCGCCCCCTCCCCTGTCCGTTCCGCCAGTCAGCGCTGGCGGATCGGAGCGGGGATTGGGGAATCCAGCCCCTCCCCTGTCACGGCAGAGAGCCGTGACAGGATCGAGAGGTGAGTGAACGCCGGTATGTGTTCGCTCACCTCCCGATCTACTGAGCCAACCTGTGACAGTCTCATTGTCACACGTCGGCTAAAACTATGAGGTGAGTGAAAAGCACCCACCTCATAGTTCTCCTTTAAGACAGATCAGTAACACAAAACAAAAATAATTCCAAAAGAACACTTTTGGTACAACCTTCTATTTGTAGAAATCAAATGGACATCAGCTCACCTCCAGCATCACAGAGGACAGCGGCCAGAGCGGAGAACAGGGAGCCACAGCCGTTTAATATAACCACCTGGGATATAGGAAGGAGAATTGTTACAAGTGCACTGAAACAATGAGTGGGGAGAATTTCCCTGGGGCAACAACGTATGATAGAACCACCCAGAATAAACCTAAATATTAAAGGCCTTTTACATTGTATCAGTGTACGATACAAACCACCTGGAACTGTATGGGTATATTTACCTGGAACATTGACAGACCTGTTACAAAGTAGCAGTATATGGTATAAAATTACCTTCCCGGAACATTGACAGACCTGTTACAATGTATCAGTGTATTATATAACCACCTGGAACTGTATGATATATTTACCTGGAACATGGATACATCTGTTACTGTATATCAGCATATGATAGAACTACCTGGAACACTGACAAACCTACTGGAACACTGACAAACCTGTTACAATGTATCAGTATACAATATACCGATTGGAACTATGTAATATCTAGCAACCAATGACATCAGAGGATCCCCTCCGCAGTCATTGGTTCCTAGGTCCGCTAAGCGGTCCTAGAAACCAATGATGTTAGGGTGCTCCTCTGCAGTCATTGGTTGCTAGGACTGCTGGGCAGTCCTAGCTACCAATGATATCAGAGGTCCTTCTCCATCCCCTCTCCTGCAGCTACCGCCCATGGACAGGTGTGTTGCATGTACTACTTTTTTAAACCATTACGCATCGTACAGTATTACGAGGAGGTGCGTTTGGGGTGCCATTCAAATTAATGGCAATGCAGCACACCTGCCGCACTGTAAAGCATGGTTGGTGCATTGTGTAGTACCGTGTACTAATCAGTTTGGCCCTCCATAGCCGTCCCAGCTTCCTATGTGGCCCCCAGAAGAAAATTAGTTGCCCACTCCTGATGCATGAACTAGTTGCCCACTCCTGACAGAACTACATGGAACCCTGACAGATTTGATACAATGCATCAGTGTATGCCATCATGGCTGTCACACAAAGAAAATGTCCCATTTGTTTGAAAACCTTTGTGCAGGAAGAAGATGATGGCGGGTCTCAGAGTCTAGCAGTTCTAGGACAGGTATATGTTATACTGATGATCTCTCTGTATAGGATCTACATACAATCCAATAAACTTCCAATGAGAAACCCAATAGACCATCTCACTAATAAGGATGGGCTCGGGTGTGTTCACAGCTCCACGTGCCGAGCCCGCCAGGAAGCTGGCAGCGCGCAGCGCCAATCACAGGCACTGAGACATTTCCTGATCTCTGCAGCTGCGGACCGGGAACATGTCTCAGTACCTGTGATTGGCGCTGTCAGCTGCCTGGCGGGCTCGGCACCTGCGAACACACCCGAGCCCATCCTTACTCACTAACAGCAATATCCATACAGTTATTACTCACATTTTCTGAAGTTAAAGGTGCGGGTGTTTTACAGTAATAAGTCAAAAAACGGGCCACTTCTTCTCTTAAACTGAAAGAAAGAAAGAAAATTCAAGACCATTGCAAAGTAAATTCAGGGGTTCGAGTCTCTAAAAGTCATTTAACTTTATGGGAGGTTCAAGTGCTAAACTATGGAGTTTAACCTGTTTAGACACACACTGATCAGCTGTATTTAGGCCGGTCTAACAACAAAAGTGAACTTCAACTCTCGACATAGGTCTCCTATGACAGCTTTCTATTATCATGCTAGACTAATACGCCACAGGGGCCTGGGGACAAACCTATATCCCTGGTCACAGGGGAAGCCAACCCCTTGCTGCCCACAATGGAGGTGTATGCTGTAGCTATGCAAATATGGACTTTCAGATAGTATTTATTTGCATAGGTCCCTAGAGTGGTCGCTACAAGAGCCCATCATAATACAGCTGCTCCTACATGCACTGCAGGTATAGAATTAGGTGGCGAGATGACCAGTCTCACAATGTGTATAAGCCCAACACCAGAGAATGGTCACCAGGAAGACAACCAGGGTTTGGAAGGTTACAGCACCTGGGAGGTAGGTGATTTTACTAAATATATATTCACATTTCTACACCTCCATGTACATTAGTTTCGTATCAATTGTGTGGCCAGAATTCAGCTTTATAGAAAGTAGACACTAAATGCTGAAAGACCCAATAGACTCATGAACTTGTGCTGCGTTAGCTACATGGACTGTCAAGCGCAGAATTATTTGTTCATTCCCTATAGTATATTTGGGACTGTAGTACCCACCTAAAGCTAACTACTGACATGAGATAACAATTGCTCAATCCAGACATGTTTGGACAGACTGGGCGATGTTCTCATGTCTACTATGACGTACCCACCAGCACTCGGAACACTTGCAAAGCATGGCTAAAGTTTGAGAAACTTTAAGGATAAAACACCATGTCCAGTAGTTTTTCTGTTCACCCCAGTAAGCTTCACTAAAGGCATCTACAGTGTGCCCACCTCCTATGCCCCACTCCATGGGCCAAACATGACCAGTCTACCCACACGATGATGCCGTTGAGAGGCATTGGCAGCAACAGATGTCAGAGGGCATTCAGATTATCCCTGCTTATTTAACCACCTTTAGGTGTCTATGACCCTTAATTAAAATGTTAATACATCTACATATAAAGAGATACTCACAATCCATGGCCCTTCCAGTCTGGATACTGCAGCAGCGGAGGCTCAACCACATTCATGTCACTTTGGGTCAGCTGTATAAATACAAGGACATGGGATCTTGTAGACTATGGCTAAACAGTCCCCAACCGACATTGTACAAAGAGGGGTACAAAAGTGTGATGAATTTTGCCTTAACTAGTCCCATTAAAATTTCCAAGACTCTAGCTTGGAGGTCAAAAACAAAAAAAACACCCTCTACAGATCAAGCATATTAAATGCAAGCCAATTTTTTCTGCAGATATTTACTTACCACTGAACATTTTGGCAAACAGTCCATTAGGAAGCCTAAAATCCGATTTAATACAGATCTGTGTGCTTACTGGCCCTTTGAGTCCACATAAGTCCCTGCTTTGCTATTCAAGCTCTGATGAAGGAAAGGGTGCTTTTGGCCCCCGGAACATATTGGCTCTTTATGTGGCTGAATTTGAACAATTAAAAGCTTTTGGACTATCTTTGTTAATATGACTGACAACCTAGCCGACTGATAGCGAGACAGGAGTAAGCAAGACCAAGCTGGACTTTTACAGGAAAAGTTGAGATAAGCATATAGATGTATTTTTGGAGTTATTGGCCATTATGACCTTCACATTTTCAATAAAGCTAACCTCTGCCTAGGGATTGTTTATTATATGATTAGCATGAAGTATGCGGGTTGGTGACATATTCACTTTAAGTGCTTGTTTTTTCTAGGGGGTGAAAATGATGATATACTCACCTGACTCTCGGTCCCACCTGGCTGCTAGACCGGTCTCCACTGCCTCTTCTCCCCTGGGCTCTGGTGGTCTAAGGAGCCATGGCATCTTCACATATAATGAAGAACCATTAGACACGAGGATGCTGAGGGACATACCATAGCGGGAGAAGAAGTCACTGCTGCAGGACCGTGGATCAAAATCATGAGTATTTATTTTTGCCCCTAGACCGAAATGAGCACCTACCCCTTGCAGTGCGGGGGTAGCCCCACAGCAAGGTTTTATTTTTTAAAATCATATATTTCTAATAGGGCTGTGCAAATTAACGATTCATTTCTTGATTAATCGTTAATCTTTTTGATCGATGAAAATTTTTTTGATCGATTTAAATTTTTTTTTAAACTTTCTGCACGAGCGCCAGCCAAGGCATTGGCCTATACACATACCGCACAGCAATGAAGTAATAAAATGAACTAGGATCACACTAATCCAGCACGTTGTTATTCCGAGTTGCCCCACTCAAGTGGCGGCCATATTGAGTGGGGCACATGAGATTAAGTGTGATCCTAGTTCATTTTATTACTTCATTGCTGTGCGGTATGTGTATAAGCCAATGTAGTTGGATCTGTATGTGCTTTATAATTAATCGAAATTAATTGATTAATCTATTAAAAAGAATTTCGATTAATCGAACACGAAAATTTTAATCAGTAACAGCCCTAATTTCTAATAATAATAATAATTTCAGCATTTTTAGAAGAAAAAAAAAAAATTAAAACTCACCCGTTTGGACATCAGGTCAAAGCAAAGTTTATTTTCACTCGTGCCAAAGTTGATGATGCCCTGCAAAAGGTCACAGCTATTATTAGTCACACAGAGTGAAAACCGAGACAAGGGGATTTAGTCAATTAAATATGAGTTTTTGGAAAACAGCTAAAGAATCCAATGAGCAGGTTGGAGGTACAGAGGGGACACCAAAAGCTCTAACATTAAGTGGTGTCAGCAGTTAAGCTATACAATGCGGCAGAGGCATGTGAATCATAAAACTAGCTGAGCAGTCCTAACAAAACTCAACAGATAAAACAGTTACATATGCCTGAATTTGTGGGCAGCTGAACCCCTCTCCCAGTACCCGAAACACGAGGCACATAGAGAAACTGCATACTTAAATATATGTTAGTGTTTCACTCTTATCTGGAGCCCTTTAATATATCAGATTGTTAATGCTAAAAACTACTACTATTTAAAGTGATATTAAAGGAGAACTATGGGGTTAACTCTTTTCCCCATAGTTCTCCTCAGGTAACGGGAGGACACAAACTAGCGTCCTCCTGTCACCCTAGGCTCAGTATACTGCGAGCTGCAGCTGAAGCGGATCCTGACAATTGTGCCGGGATCCGCCCAGCTGCGTGACTGACAGCTAGAGGCAGAGCCAGCTGCCCCCCTCCCCCGTCCGTTCCGCCAGTCAGCGCTGGCGGATCGGAGCAGGGAGGGGGGAATCCAGCCCCTCCCCTGTCACGGGTGAGGTGAGCGAACGGCGGTATGTGTTCGCTCACCTCCCGATCTACTGAGCCGACCTGTGACAGTCTCATTGTCACAGGTCGGCTAGAACTATGAGGTGGGTGAAAAGCACTTACCTCATAGTTCTCCTTTAAAGCCTAAAGCCCCCCCTCCCATCCTCATGCTGATGTAAGGATTTACCTTAAATGATGCCTCTTGACCCGATCATCTACTTCTTTCCACTTGTATTCAGCAATCCCTCCAGTGCTGGTGGCGGTCTCTTCCTGTCACTTCCTGTCCCACGGAGTCTATGCGGGTGCACGCTGCCTCCATTGACTTACCTTCCGTCTCTCCTCTTCTCCCAGCCGAAGATCTCTACTGCGCATGAGCCCGCCCCATGATCCTCTGCAGCCTCCCGAGAACCTTCAGATCTTTGGACGGGAGCGCACGGCGGAGACACAGGTAAGTTTGAACCCTTTGGTAAACTTGTTTTTGCATATATATCGACTGCTTGGTAACAGTCGGTATATGCAAAAAAACAGGAGGCTTTAATGATCCTTTAAGATATGTGGGAGGAAAATGGGGAAAAAGAGTCAATATACTGACCTTACCCCTGGCTTACATTCTGCAGGCGGTGATGTCACCATCCTTTCATGAGAAGATGCTCCTGCACTGTGCTAGAGCATAATCTTGAGACAATAGGGGATATTTAACATTCCCCAGGATGTTCGAGATGATGATGGCATTGCTGAGCTGTACACCTAACGTCATTGGTGCACTTTCAATGCCAAGGCAGAAAGAGCACTGGAATATATTCGCACTGCCCCAGGCAATTAGGCCAGGCCACAGAAGCTACCAGGGCTTAGGTAAGTTCTATAGTAAGACTCTATGAAGCAAATGAAGATGTCCTGCTATTCTGAAACATTAGATACTAATACCTGCTCAGGAAACATTTTGGAGGTATTCTTACAACGCAATAAAAGAGAAAAACAGTATAAAAAGCGCTCACATTGGGGTTCTTGTCCTCATCGTACTTGTCTTCATGATATGCTCTGTATCCCTCCTCAGAGGAGCCTCGGAAACCACACAGGATGTTGCCACGACTAGACAGATAGGGGCTGAAGAACTGCTTACAACTGTACACATCTCCTACTTCAGGCTCTTTGCTCGTAGAGGCTCTCTTCAGATTGTCACCCTCTGGTGTTAAGCCAGAATTTGATGGAGGCATGGGCATAGACTCCCCTCCACTTTGACGTATCATGCCCAGCATCTGGGCGAACACAGTGAACATGCGCAGCTCGTGCTGACGGTCCAGCTGCAGCCTCCGCTCCTCCAGACGAAGCCTCCGTTCCTCCGCCTCTTGCTCCTGCACCATCCTCCGTTCCTCAAGTTGAAGAAAGCGTTCCTCTGAGGCTCGCTGAGCCATCAGCATCTGAGCGATGAGGTCCTCCAGCGGCTCCAGCGGTTTCCTTTTCCTCCAGAACTGCGGATGAGTGCTGTGACCCGAGGAGCCCGCCATATTGGCTTCACTGAAACCTGGAGGAGTAAGGAGATCAATAAAAAAAATACTAATAAAATATCTGCTGCAAGACCAAAGTCCCCGAATTAAACATGTTCTATTACTGATGGTCCCGCAGAAGACAACGCTAAACCCAACTGCGCCAGAACCTAATTTATTCTCATAGTGAGGCGGACATCTTTACATTGTCAATGGCTGTTGGATTCCTTTCTTGACTTGTTCAGTCTGCTGGCAAACTCTGGCTGCAGGCTTTCTAGGATAAGGAGCATCTGATCCATACTCAGGCTCCATTATACTGACCATCACCAAAGTCTTTCACAAAGAATTCCAAGTCTGGCCATCCTTATAGCCAAGAACCCCCTTTTATACCGGTGGCAAACTGGTTTCTGGTCAAGTCTACAAGGATTGTGGATGGTCAACTGCACATGCAAGGGGTCACATCCACTCCACTTTCTTATTTCATATTATGGAGAGCACAGCAGAAGGAATGGGAACACAAAGCTCCAAGGTGGAGGGAACCAGAAGCTACATCAGGGAAATCGCACTAAAGCTCCCAAGAGATATATGACGCCAGCGGATAACTCACCAGAAAACCTCCATCTCTCACTTTTTGGTTAGAATGACCGGTGTTAGCTCTCTACTAAAGCTTTATACACCTAAACATATGAATTACATTCCAACTTCAGCACCTATTTTTTTATTGCAAACGTTACCCTTTGTCTTCAATCCTCCATTATAATAGACCTTCTCTTCATTAACCAAGACGTTCACAGTCCCTTTGCCCTCTCAAAGCACACAATATCCTACCCGAAAACAGGGGCCTTTAACCAAGGATTCTTTAAAGAATCTCTGACACCAGACCACTTATTTCAACAAAATAAGTGGTCTGGATAAAAGTTTACGCATTTCAGCCTGAAATGTGTAAACTTTTTTATGGGTAGTTTGACTTTTCAGCGAAGTTTATCTCGGAGGAACATTTTGAATGTCAGCATGTTTGTTACCCTTTCGTTGTTCCAGTAGGAGGAGTTGCATAGTATTTGAGGTTGAATAAAGACATTAGTTATATACATATATATACACACACACATACATACATACATACATACATACACACACACACACATACATACATACATACATACATACACACACATACATACATACATACACACACACATACATACACACACACATATATACACTTTACAAAAAGAGAGAATGGGACCACTTTGTTATCACCACTGTAGACATGTTGAGCTGGTAACTTATGGCAAAATGTCCTGAGAGTCTGAAGTCTGATTTAAAGCTCATTTCCCTCTAACCCATCAGAGTATACTGGCAAGTTCATGACACATTCTGGGTGCCTATAAAAAGGAGACTCTCTCTCTCTCACTTTTAGTTTGGAAGGGGTCAGCCACTTCAACAGGAACCAAGCTGGACCCCTCAGAGGGGACACACAAAGTCAGTAATAAGAATGTATACAAAGTCTCAAGGGAGAACCAGGCCAAAATCTTTTGTTGTATTTACTCATAACAAAGAAGTGTGGACAAGCCAACGCATTTCGGAGTCGACAACACTACCCCCTCAGGGCTTAAGGTATTAGAAGAGTCTAAAACAGGGCTCAGTTTAGGATGATTAATGGGAGAAATAAGCAAAGCAAAAAAAATGGATTAGCAGCTTGTTCAAACAGCATACGGCTTGGACTCTTAGAATTTTGGTCTGGCGCTCTCTTCAAACGTTGTATACATGGATCCTTTAATCTTGGTCCCCTAGAAGGGGGTGCCTTGATTTGTTGGGAGCAGCCTTGCTAGAGTTATGGTGCTCCATGAAAACTTGATTGATATTCTAACCCTAATAAACAAGATGCATGCAGCTCCTCTGATATACTGTAGATGTTCAGTAATAAGAACTTGACAAAACCTCTAGCCCTTCCCTCCACTATGCAAATCTAAGGGAAGCGTTGCGGTTGAAGTTAAATACAGAAGGATCAGTTTGGGTTGGAAAGACTTCAGTGGTGTTTTCTGTGTAATCCTGCATAATTTAGCATTTCCCACAAATGCTGACTCCTTGTTATCCAAGCCATCAAACAGGTCATCAACGAAGATGGTAGAAGACCGGAGCCAAAACTGGTCCAACCGGGACTCTGCTGGTATCTTCAAAACACTCTACACAAGTAAGCCAACTTCCCCAGTAAAAGCTCTTACCTCCTTCCTCAGTCTACAGAGTCCCTTTACCCCTAACGTGACATTAAAGTCACAATATCGCCCCCCCCCTTTAGGGACTTACCTTAAATTATGCCTCTTGATCCGATCATCTTCTTCTCAGTGGTTTTCAGGAGTCCCTCCAGCACTGGTGCCGGTCTTTGATCCAGCACATACTGCTGCGTCTCCTGTGTCCCACGGAGTCTGTACGGGTGCACGCTCCCGGCTGTGTGCATTGACTTACACTGTGTGTCTCCTCTTCTCCCGGCTGAAGATTTCTACTGCACATGCGCTCGCTCCATGATCCTTCACAGCCGCTCGAGAATCTTCAGATCTTTAGACGGGAGCGAGCGGCGGAGACACAGGTAAGTAATGACCTATTTGCTAATTATTATTTATTTTATGTTTTTGCATATATCTACTGCTTGCTAGCTGTAGATTTATGCAGAAAAAAATGAGTGTTTGATTCTACTTTAAAATCTGATTAAAAATTAACATTTCTGAATGTTTTTGAAAATTCAGAAGAGATCAGCTTTGGCTGTTTCCTAACTAGTAAACTCCCAAAATCTAAGCCCCGCTTCACACCTGGGTGTTTTGTAGCGTGTTCGAACGCTCTGCAGAACGCTCAAACACCGAAATCCCATTATTTCCTATGAGTATGGTTCACACCTGGGCGTATTACAGGCCGTATGAACGCGCTACAAAACGCCCTACGCCCAAAGAAGTACAGGAGCTTTTTGTCGCGCGTTTCCATTGGGATACAGCCAAGAAGCCCTCGGAAACGCGCGTTGGTCGCACGTTTTTTTACCATGAATCGCGCATATTCGATACGCCTAGGTGTGAACCCAGCCTAAATACTTTTCTCCCGTACTAAGGGCCAGGGCCTGCAAAGATTGAGCATTCTCTTCTGGGCAGACTATGATCTGTTATTTAGGAAAATTTACATATTTGTAGTCTAGTGTGCCTTTTGCACGAGCGTGGTGAAACCCAACGCAAAGAATAAGTGATTAATGGAGCTAGATAGCTAAAGACTGCTTGACTATTGTTGTCAATGAAAGCTCATGCTCGCAGCTGGATCCTAAACGGAACTTCGTGGCTTCCAAATGTTGCACTAAAAATGACCTAGCTGAGTTAAAGTTGACCTCTCAGTCTGCATGAATAAGTTCCTGATTTGGTATTATATAGAGCAATAGTAAACATTTTCAAAAACTCTGTATATTTCATGAATAAAGGACAGTCCATGAGCTCCAGGGTGGAGAGGTGCAAGTGCTGGTAGAACAAGGGCATCAGTCTGCTGCAGGCAGTAGGATGCACATCCTCAGTCTCATGCCTTCTGCCCCAGTGATCACACTGATCATCCATTGTAACTATGGAGCAACTCTGTCCAGAGCAGTCACCGGGATTTACATGATTGTGTCATCTCTGAGCCTAAGAAGTAGGATGCTAAAACCAAGGGCAGATAAAACTATTGTAGGGGGGGGGGGGGGTATGACCTTTAAAGAGGTGATAAAGAACTGTAAGTGTTACACTCTCACATTACTTAGCATGCATGTATCATATGAAAGATATATCTGACACAAGGTCCACTTTAAGGAACCTTTCTATGGTATGCAGTCTCTTACCTGAGGGGGATACGCTGACCTCAGCAGTGACCTCCACTCTGGATATGGGTGAATCTTGCCCTCCTCTATCCAGCATGCTTTGTTCGTCCTCTTCTTGCTCTCCCCCGGAATCCTGTATATACGTCATAGGAGGTTCTGGAGTCAGACATTGTTCATCAGACTGCACATCCTCGGATTTGATTTCCATCATTTCCGGATGTGTCTGAGAATGACCATACTGACTGAATGGACCGTGAAACCCCTCAGACAGGGAGTTCTGGAGCAAATGCTGGTTCAAGAGCCCACCGGGGCCTATAGACCCATAAGAGAGAGTAGGGCGGTGAGTCAACACCCTGTCCATCACTTCGTAAAACTTCCAAGCCCTTCCACCTCGCAGGGTCTTACTATTGTCCTTCAGCCTTCGATATTCCAGCTTCATCTTCTTGATCTTCTCCCGGCACTGGTCGCCAGTCCTGTGGATTCCTTTTTCCCTCAACGCATCAGCAATCCGGTTGAAGACATGCTGGTTCCGGAGACAGCTCTCCAGTTCCATCTGCACCGACTCGTTTCCCCAGAGCTGTAAAAGTTCTACCACCTCCGGGTCTGACCAGTTGCTCCCTCGTTCATATTTCTTCCCTCTGAAATCCATAGTCAACGGAGATGAAACGTAGAAGAGGAAAACAGAACTAACGAGGAGTGACTACCAAACTCAAGAGGTTCTCCTAAACTTCATCACCCAGAACCACTAAAAAGTCAAAGAACATTCTTCAGCACCTTCTTCACACGTTCTCCAACTTATGGAAGTATAAAATGGCGTCTTCCGTAATTCAGACTTTACAAAATGAGAATTCCGAAGTGAATAAAAGGAAGCAGAGCCAACAATCCTGAAGGACCTAAGGCAAGCTGGAGGACCTTCCACAGCTTATGGCCGAATGTCTCAATGGCTTGGCCCTGGACCCAGATATCAGAACCAGCTTATTACTTCGTAACTATAAAAAAAGGAAGATCTGTAGCCGGTAAAAAGTGAGATCTATAGAACAATTACCGCACATTGAGGAGGATCTGAAAGTTGAAATATCATATAAAAGACCTTCTTCTGGGCAGAACACTTAGCTTCTGGTTGTAGAACAGCAAATCCAGGTTCAAATGATGGATTTCTAACTGGGTCATATAGAACTTATCACCAGTCGCTTATTTTGAAACAAATTCATTCGGCATGTAAATATTTATAAAGAAATATATTACACAAAGTATACAAGGTAACAAGATCTTAGAGCTCACAGAACCAAGTTGTCGTGAAGCTGAAGATGAGAATATGGACTGAAGTTTGCAGAAGGATGATACTATGTAACAATCATATGAGAGATCTGGGGGAAGGGAGGGGGGCTCCTATAATATAGACTGGCCGAGGACCCTAAAATTCGGATCAGTCCATTAAAAAGTTGCATATACTGTAGCTGTAATAACCTATCATGGGATTTATTACAATCGGAAGAATGGATCTATCTGTAATAATCATAAACTAGTACAGAATGTATTACAGTGGGAAGAATGGGCTGCTTTGACTCGGGTCCTGATTGGTGGAGGAGGGGGGAGGAAGATATTCTGATACAATGTAACAATTGGAAGAAGTTCAGTCTTGCCGGACTAGATGAGATCAGAGACGGAAGCTGATCAATAGAACGATATTAGATATCGGGTCATGTGCAATGGAGGAAGATCTATGGAAAAAGTGGGTGAAAGGGAGGGGGCATTATATTATTTTATTTTTTTAAACTTAATTTTTCATTAAAAAGTTTAGTAGCGGTTGTTAAAAAATGTATTCGTAAATTCCGCCTTCGCCGCTTTTCGCATCATGTGCCATTTTTGTTGCGTTCTCAGGGCTTGAGTAGATGGAAAAAGGCAGCAAACTGTCCACTTTGTCTGCAGTGTGCATGCATCTCAATAGGACCGGCAGCGTCCACACAGAAACACAGCGCAAAGCAGGTCAAACGCAGCATCAGAGCGGTCACCAGCTCTGCACCATGGAGGGTGCCAGTCAATTCCATGCATAGAGCGGGTGCCATCAGTGGCGGACCTAATGAACAAAGGGTCCTGGTGCAACTTTTATCTTGGGCCCCCCCTCCCAAGAGGGGGGTGGGGGGGCACGGGAGCGGATCACATTGGCCCCCAAACGGTCTCTAATGTCGCAGTGGACGCACTGGACTCAGGGCTTAGTAACGCGCTGGACGCAGGACTTAGTACCGGCCTGGATGCACTGCTCAGTAACGGCCTGGATGCACTGCTCAGTAACGCACTGGACGCTGGGCTTAGTAACGCCCTGGACGCTGGGCTTACCTGAGACCCCGCAGAGCACACCATAGATCCTGCACAGCCCATCTGAGACTCTCTATGGTGGGCTCTGCAGGGTCTCAGGTGGGTTGGCCGAAGGGGTCCCTTTCTGTATCTCCTCCCAACTCCTCTTACCTGCTGCTGCTGCTGGGACCCTGCCTCCTCCACCCCCTCCCCTGTCACCTCTGCCATGCCGCCCCTGGTACAGCTGATACCCATGTAAGGGACCCCCCAGGCTGCCCAGACCCCTCACATGGGTACCGGCCTTACCTCCTGATGGCGGTGTTCTATCAAAGTTTGTGACTACATTAGAATGTGTGACCGGTGATGTGGTCACACATTTTAATGTAATCCCACCCAGTTTTTCTGCTTGACCGCCAATAGGTGAAGCATTCCAACGCAGGTGGCATTCAATGCAATGGATAGAGCGGGTGCCATTCAATGCAATGCATAGAGCGGGTGCCGTTCAATGCAATGCATAGAGCGGGTGCCGTTCAATGCAATGCATAGAGCAGGTGCCGTTCAATGCAATACATAGAGCGGGTGCCGTTCAATGCAATGTATAGAGCGGGTGCCATTCAATGCAATGCATAGAGCGGGTGGCATTCAATGCAATGTATAGAGCGGGTGCCATTCAATGCAATGTATAGAGCGGGTGCCATTCAATGCAATGTATAGAGCGGGTGCCATTCAATGCAATACATAGAGCGGGTGCCATTCAATGCAATACATAGAGCGGGTGGCATTCAATGCAATGCATAGAGCAGGTGCCATTCAATGCAATACATAGAGAGGGTGCCGTTCAATGCAATGTATAGAGCGGGTGCCATTCAATGCAATGCATAGAGCGGGTGCCATTCAATGCAATGTATAGAGCGGGTGCCATTCAATGCAATGCATAGAGCGGGTGCCGTTCAATGCAATGCAGCAGAGAAAAATCAGGTCCCCCCCTTCCAAAAAGGGCTGTGACACCCGACAGAGCTGTGCAAATCTCAGGACTGGACGGACAGGAAGGCAAGAGAAGAGAGAATATCTGAGAGCTCAGCTTCAACATTAACAAACATGTCAGATGACAGGTCCTCTTGAACAACACCATATCTGTCCAGCAGAGGGCGCCCACCCACCTGCAATGCCATTCAGTGAATGAACTTCTTGTTCCCCACATTGCAGTGATATGTTTATATGTAAAATCTAAACAACTGCACGCGTGACGTCAGTTGGGAGGTTATACAGTCAACAAGTGGTTTACACTATGACCATATGGAACATCTTAATCTTATTTACTTCACCCATAGAGTACAGATTTTGATCAATGCTGCTTACAAGATGCGGACATGCTGGCTATCAAAGAACTCCGCCCTCCCTCCCCCCCAAAAAATGGTTTTGTGTTTTGAAATATATGTAACCCCAATCACTGAACTCCAATAGCACCATTAATTAATCCCCGGTGATCCTGCCATGAGGGTCCTTTTCAGGGACTTCCTGGTATGGGGTGACAACACTCTGTCCTTTGTGTTGTCACCTGTGTTGTCACCTGTGTTGTCACCCTCTAACATGCTCTTCAATTGGAGAGAACAAGCAGCCGTGCTGATGCACATTACGTAGGCATGGTCCAATGTCACAGTGGGCAACCCCGGACCTACTCCAACCCCCGGACCTACTCCAACCCATCACTTGCAGTGGCAAAAAAAGGAGTTATTTTCGTGGAAGTACCAAGTTGTGACTTACACGGGCCTCACAACGAATTTCCTGTCCCGTGTGACAGCGTATTGTCACCCGCTGGGACGTCATTACACACATATGACGTCATTATGAATGCGCATGACATCATCACGCACATGCTCGTCCGTCACGTGCACATACTCACCTAGCTGTCTGCCGGCAAA